AAGAAAGAAAGAAAGAAAGAAAGAGAGAAATAAATAAAATAAAAAAAAACGAAATAAACGAACGAAAGAAAGAGCAAAAGAACCGAACGAAAGAAAAAAAATATACAAACATATAAAAAAAGACAATGAAAAGGTCACCAAAAAGAGAAACAGGATTGTACAGTGCAGCTATTCTTTTTTTCTCTCTCTCTCCTTCTTTTCCTCCGAAGCCAACGGGGTTCACAAACGCCTGTCGAGAAAAGGGCGGAAACCTTGACCGCCAAGAGGGTCGAAAAAGTGATTAGTTCTCGTGGTTTTCGGCTGTTCTTGTGACAGCGGGATGGTTCTAGGTTGGGCATTTTTTCCCCCCGTGTGGTTCTCACTTATATGGATAAATGTTTTTTTTGTTTTTAAGTGTTGTTCCCTAAATGTTTTTTGAAGTATTGTTCTTTAAATATTTTTTGATGTATTGTTTTCTAAATGTTTTTGATAGTATTGTTCTCTAAATATTTTTTGAAGTGTTGTTCTCTGAATGTTTTTGATAGTATTGTTTTCTAAATATTTTTTGAAGTATTGTTATCTAGATGGTTTTTGAAGTATTGTTCACTAGTTGTTTTTTGAAGTATTGTTCTCGAAATGTATTTTGAAGTATTGTTCTCTAAATGTGTTTTGAAGTATTGTTTTCTAAGTCTTTCTGAAGCATTTTCTCTAAATCAGTTTTGATGTATTGCTCTCTATTTTTTTATGCATTGTTCTCTAATTATTTTTACTTTGTTGTTTGTTTTATGTATCACTATATTTTTTTTCTCCTTAGGCATACTATCGGATTCTCTTCGCCTCGTTCGGTTCTTGTGTTCTCTTTGCCTGCTTCTGCTTCTAGAACTTAGATCTGATATAGAAGGTTCTGTTTTTTTGTGTGTTTTTTTCTTCTTTCTGGGTTTATTTTTGCGTTTGTTTAATCACCTTTTTTCTTCTTTCATGTGTAGGTTCTTTCGCCTGTTTTTTTTCCTGGTTCTGTTATTTTGTTCTCTTTTGACTGTGTCGGTTCGTGAGAGTCTCTCTCTCTCTCTCTTCTCTCTCTCTCTCTCTCTCTCTCTCTATCTATCTATCTATCTATCTATCTATCTACCTATCCATCTATCTCTCTTTAATTCTCTCTCTCTCTCTCTCTCTCTGTCTATCTCTCTCTCTCTCTGTCTATCTCTCTCTCTCTCTCTCTTTCATTCTCTCTCTTTTTCTCTGTGTATGTGTGTGTGTGTGTGTGTGCGTGTGTGTGTGTGTGTGTATGTGTGTGTGTGTGTGTGTGCGTGTGTGTGTGTGTGTGTGTGTGTGTGTGTGTGTGTGTGTGTGTGTGTGTGTGTGTGTGTGTGTGTGTGTGTGTGTATGTGTATCAATCTATCTAGAACTATCTTACCTATCTTTCTTTTCCTTTTCCTTTTCTTTTTAGTATTCTCTCTCTCCTTCTTGCTGTGCGTTTGCAATTCTAGATTTACTTTCGATTTTTTTTTCGCTGTATCGATTTCGTTATCATCATTATTAACGAAATATATTATTAACGAAATATTGCGTGTGTGTCTGTTTGCTTGATTGTGTGTGTGTGTATGTGTGTGTGTGTGTGTGTGTGTGTGTGTGTATGTGTGTGTGTGTATGTGTGTATGTGTGTGTATGTGTGTGTGTGTATGTGTGTGTGTGTGTGTGTGTGTGTGTGTGTGTGGTGAGTGTATGTGTATACGTGTGTGTGTATGTGTATATCTTTATAGACATTCTCAACTCTACAAAATTCTTGGAACCGGTGAGATAACAGTTCAAAATACTCAGGAGCTCCTACTTAAAGAAATTTCTTTCTTAAATAAAATTTGCAGCGTCAGATAACCCAATTGCTGGACAAGGGAACGAAAGAGAGAGAGAGAGAGAGAGAGAGAGAGAGAGAGAGAGAGAGAGAGAGAGAGAGAGAGAGAGAGAGAGAGAGAGAGATTGAGAAAAAAGAGAGATAAAGAGAAAGAGAAAGGAAGGGATTGAGAAAAAAGAAAAAGAGAGATAAAGAGAAAGAGAGAGGGGTTGATCTGCAAGAGAATATTCGAGGCAAAGATCTAGACTAACAGAGAAAGGCAGGCAGAGAGAGAGCACTGCCAACTACGAAAGGAAAGAGAAATAGGTAGACAAAAAGAAACATACACTTGCAGATACAGTGATATGAAAACAAATAAGCAGACTAAGTGATAGGTATATATATATATATATATATCTATCTATATATCTATATCTATATCTATATCTATATCAATATCTATATCTATATTTATCTATCTATCTATCTATCTATCTATCTATTTATCTATCTATCTATCTATCTATCTATCTATCTATCTATCTATCTATCTATCTATCTATCTATCTATATATATATATATATATATATATATATATATATATACACACACAGTATACACCCACGCACACCCCCCCCCACACACACATACACACAGACGCACACACACACATATATATATATATATATATA